AAGAAAGGAAGAAAGAAAGGAAGAAAAGAAGGAAGGAAGGAAGGAAGGAAGGAAGGAAGGAAGGAAGGAAGGAAGGAAGGAAGTCACTCCTTCAGATGGAAAAGGCAGAGAAAGTGAAATGGAGCCAGTCTGAGAGCAGTGAGGATAGCTGCACCTTCAGCCAGAGGAGGAGGATGCTAACTGGTACGATGTAATGTCAGCACAGTAGAGGTAGAAAGGAGACGTCGAGGGAAAACACGGTGTAAGGTCTGCTGCAGGTTGATGGAGAAATGTCACAGTAAGCATAGGCGGGTAGAGATGCCATCACAGTAAGGATGCACCGTGGCTTGGGGCTCACTGGTACCTCTAGCTTGTCTAGAAGCTTGAGAACCGTCACTGGCACCCTATGGATCATCCCTGTCTACACTGTCTATCCTAGCTGATGTGCAGTTTCAGCTATCTATGATTAACAGTTGTTCTTCCCTATGTCTAGAAAGCATGTGAGCCCTTGCCCAGCTGCAGTGTCCCTAGACAGCCTTGGCCCATGGCTAGCATCAGTAATGGCTCCTCCTCCTCCTCCTCCTCCTCCTCCTCCTCCTCCTCCTCCTCTTCTTCCTCCTCCTCCTCCTCTTCCTCCTTTTCCTCCTCCTTCTTTTCCTCTTGCTTTTCCTCCTCCTCTTCTTCCTCTTCCTTTTCCTCCCCCTCCTCCTCCTTTTCCTCCTCTTCCTCCTCCTCTGGGCAATCTTAGCTGTATCTCTTTTTGTATCTTGTCTCCCGTTTCTCCTGCCTTTGTAGCACTTAAGAAAGACAAAAGGCCAGGCATAGTATCTCCATTGCTAAGTGAAGGATGTTTTGATGGATTTGTTTTTCATCTGAGGAGAGGGAAAGAGAGAGAAAGAAAGGTCAAGGGGAGGGTTGAGGAGAGAGAGAGAGAGATTAAATGAGTTTACTAGACATGCCGGTGCTTACCTGTAAGGCCAGCTAGTATGGAAGCTAAAGAAGGAAGATAATAAGTTTATGGTCATCTTGTGGTGCTCATTGAGACCCTGCATCAAAAAAGAAAAAGGTAGCATAAGTAGTCTACATTTTTTTTTAATCTGGAGTGTTGGGTAAACCATGTGCTGCTTGGATCTGAAAGTAATAGCTAGAGCTGGGTGTCTGGTAACATAGTAGACTTGTCTAGCATCCATGAGGCCCTGCATTTGATCCAAAGCAGTAGTACTCAGAATAGAAATCACTAAAAGAACAAGCAGTAGTTGAGTAGATAGAGTGCTTGACTGTCATTCAGAAGGCCTGGGTTCAATCTTTCACCACCATGTAAACAGGAATGAGGACACACCCCTATGATCCTAGCACTCAGGGTGTAGAGGCCATGGACCAGGAGTTCACCTTGCTTTAGCCACATAGAGAATGAGGCTACCCTGGATTACATGAGACACTATCTCAAAAAAATTGAAAATATCTAATGTTAGTTAGTTTTAACTGTCAAGTTGGCTAACCTAGAATCATTTGCAAAGAGAGTTTTGTGGGAAGGTTTGGTTTAGTTTGGGGTTTTTGACTCAGGCATTCTCACAACCTTTAATTATTTTGGAATATGGCAATATACCCATTCATATCAGATCTAAACACATTAAGAATATCATAATCTCCATTTTACCTTTAGATAGGAGAATTAGATAGATTAGATAGGAGAAAAGAGAAATATAATAATAAAAAATACTTAACCTAAAAAATGAGACAAGAGAGAAAAAAGTTGCTAGATCAGGTGAGAGATTCTAAGTTTATATATTTAAAACCATAGTAAATTTCTGTTGTTATTTTTGAGAAGTTCAGACACAAACACTCTCACATGCACACACACTCACACATATGCACACACATACAAACACATATACACACATGCACACTCACATACACACGCTGTGTGTGTGCCTCTGTGTGTGTGTGTGTGCCTCTGTGTGTGTGTGT